AGAAGTTAATTGCCATCTCAGGGCTCCACTGCGGCTTTCCCCCCTTTACCGTGAGGATGGCGTGGCCCAGATGAGGCTTCCCCTTCAGCCTGGATCAAATACTGAGGAAGGTACGTGGAGCAGAGACGCAGTAACTTCACACAACATAAAGCAAATAGGGCGCTAACATCAGGGGGAGCTGAGCACGGGGGAATGAAAACCCTCTGTGGTAGTTTTGCAAAGTCACTGATCATTGGAGAAACGCAAATCAGGTTAAAATGGGATATCTCCTCGCCTAGCCGGTGTGGCTCAGCGGTGGAGCATCGACCTGTGATCCTGGAACTTGGGTTCGATTCCCGGTCAGGGCACATGCCTGGGTTGCGGGTTCGATCCCCAGTCAGGGGCGTGCAGGAGGCAACCGATCAATGACTCTCTCATCATTGATGTTTCTCTCTCTCTCTCTCTCCCTCTCCACTTTCCTCTCTCTGAAGTCAATAAAGACATATTTTTAAAAAAATGAGATATCACTTCGCACCCTTGAGGATGATTACTATTTTTTTTTAAAAAAAGTGCTGAAACCTTTGTGCACTGTTGATGGAATAAAAAATTGTGCAGCCACTATGGAAAGCAGTATGGCAGTTCCTCAAACATAAAATAAAATTACCGTATGATCCAGCAATCCCACTTCTGGGTGTACATCCAAGAGAGTTGAAAGTAGGATCTCAAAAATATATTCGCACACCCGTGTTCATTGCAGCATTGTCCTCAATGCCCAAAAGGTAGGACCAACCTAATGTCCGCTGATGAGCAAATGGCTAAGCAAAACCTGGGACATTCATACAATGGGATATTATTTAGCCTTACAAAGAAAGGCAATTCTGTCCCATGCTGTACCATGGATAAATCTTGAGGACATTATGCTAAGTGAAATAAGGCAGCAACAGAAAAAGAAATATGCTATGATTCAATGCATGTGAAGTAGTCAAATTTATAGGAACAGAAAGTAGAATGGTGGTTGCCAGGCGCTGTGAGGAGGGGGAAATGGGGAGTTATTGCTTAATGGAATTAGAGGTTCAGGGTTGTAAGATGAAAAACTTCTGAAGATTCATTGCACAACAGTGTTAATATACTTAACACTCCTGAACTGTACACTTAAACATGGTAAATAGGATCAATTTTATATTCTGTGTTTTTATTTAGCACAGTTTTTAAAACTTAGACAAGGTTTTTAAAAATGAGACGAGGCCACATAGAAGTACATTTTATAGCTTCCAAATAAAAGATGGTGCTACTTCTAAAAACTGAACAATTTATCCCTGACACACCCATGTACCTGGTGGAGCAGGGACAATAGAATTACAATAATTACTCTCATTGGGAGACATCCAGCAGGGACTGATTACAGCAGTTCTGAAATACTGCTGGGTAGGCATTGTGAAATCCTGTTCTCCAAGTAGGATAGTTAAAGCCTTTTTCAGTCTTGGCTTCTGATTTTCTCAGCAACAGAGTTCTCTCGGAAATGACTACTAAGACTTTTCTGAAAATACCTCCCTGTGTGTAGTCCTTGCCTCTGTCCCGTGTCTCTCTTTGAGGCTGAGGCTCCCAGGCTTGAATGGGAGCGACACACTCTAACCTGCTCTCTTCCTGAAGCCGCCTGTCCAGCTGCAGGTTTCATGGGTACGTTGTTGTTTAAAACCTTTTAAACATTCCATCTCACTGCTTGGGGTGGTGAAACAGTTGGATTTTTGAGCTCTACAAGGTCCTAAATGTCTGGCCTTCATAGTCCCTTGCACTCCTGCTTGTAAATGAACTCAATCTAGGTTAGAACAAAGGACACTAAGAAAGCCCAACCAGAGGTTGCAGAACTGGCTGGCAACTCCAGCATCCTGAGCATGAGAGAATGGGGAGCATAGGACCCCACACTCCCCTGTGCATCTGGATCTCCTGGAGAACTTATAAAATGGACCAATGGGAAGAGGAGCCTTCCCTCATTTCAACATCCCAAATAAGAATCCTCGGGGCTGTACTGGTGTTTTGAAAGGAACTTGGGTGATTTTAATGCACAGAAAACTTAGGAACTACTTAATGCACAAAATAAACCCATAATCTATGGGCCCACCAATGAAAGGTGATTTTCACAAGGTTATCTCAGATTTTATACACCAAACCAGACCCAGGTCTCAAACACTGGGCCACAGTGCCCAGCTACCTATTGTAAACTTTTGCCTGGTCCCTAGCTGTGGTCGTCTGAATAATGATCCCTTCCCAAGGAGGCCCACAGCCTAACCCAAGCCCTGGAAACTGATATGTTACCTGACATGGCAAAAGGAACTTTACAGATGTGATTAATTTAGGGCTCTTGAGATGGTGAGATTATCCTGAATTATCCAGACAGGCCCAGTATAATCACAAATGTTCTTATAAGGTGGAAGGAGGAGGGTAAGAATCAGAGACAAGATGTAATGGCAGGAGCAGAGGAGATGAGAGGAGAGGGAGGGAGGGCGAGAAAGAAGGAGGGAGGGAGTGAGGCAGAGAGAGAGAGAGGGAGAGAGAGAGAGAGAGAGAATTTAAAAAGGCTTTGAAGATGGGGGAAGGGGGCCATGAGCTAAGGAGTGCAGGAAGCATCTATAATTGGAAAAGTCAAGAAAATGAATTCTGCCTTAGAGTCTCCAGAAAGACTTCTGACCTCCAGAAATGAAGATAATATGTTTGTGTTGCTTTAAGCCATCAATTTTATAATAATTTGCTAGAGTTGCAATACGAAACGAATACAGATTTTTGCAATTGTAAGTATGGTCCTGCTGTAACAAATAGTAAAACATTTAGAAGTGGCTTTGAAATGTGATGAAGATCAGAGGCTGGAAGAATTTTTGAAGTGACAGCAAAAGCCCAGATTTCCTGGAATAGACTGTTGGCAGCCACACGGTGTAAATACAGCATCCCTGGCGTTCCCTCCTACAGCAGGGCCTGCCGCCAATGCTTGTGCTCACGTTTCACCATGCAAGGAGCAAGGAATCCCATGCTTAGCTGGGTTCAAGATTTCCCGAAAATAAACAGATGCGGCTTGAAAAGGGAGTGTGAACAGATTATTTGGGGGTTTGAGCACATGGATCACACCTGTCTTGGCCTCCCCTCCTTCCAGACCCCGCACCCCAACCTGTTGCCATTAGAGGACCTGCTGCTCAGTTCACTATATGGTGCTCTCCCATTGGTTTGCACTCCACTCCCTTTAGCCTCTTGGCATCCAGGGCAGTTGGAGATGGACTCCAGACCGGTGATTAAGGCTGTAGACTGCAGGAGAGGGAAAGGGGCAGCGGGGGCCGTGGGACCTGGCATGAGGGTCAGTGAGTTCTATACACAGCTTCCAGGAAATTCTCTGCTGACCCATGTATCAGGGCACTTTGGAAAGTGTTCCTTGAAGCTTCGATGGAATCCCTCAGGGCAAGCAGAATCTCCTCTCTTCCTCTCCAGCTCCAGCTGATAGAGATTAAAGTTTTCCAAGAGACACGCTCTCAGATCTTAAAACCCAGGTCCCACTGGGTTGCTGTTTGTAGCACAGGATCATCGCTATTTTCTTTATGGAGACTCAGAATACCCAACCTGCCCTAAGGAGCAGGGTGAGTCAGTGTGGGTTCTGCAGTTAGAACCCAAGTGCCCTTCTTCCAGCCAGGGCTGTCCCCAGCACCTCATGCTGCGAAGGTTCTGCCTGGCCTAGCTTGACCCAGCAGCCATCTCTCCATCAGGTCGGGAAGGTCAGTAGCATGCAAAATTGATTCAATTGGGTAAGATAACTGCTTTTCTTAGAGCAGGAATTGTCTGTACCCGCATGGATCAGATACCCCCCAGGTAGGTCAAATTCCATGCAAGGGAATATAGACTTTAGGTGGGCATGCAGGTTAAAGAGGCCCATCCATGTAAATGGATGATCCTGGCCTCCTGGGATTGGGATGGGGGGAGAGTGATGGGGAGAAGTACATTCTGGTTTCAGGGAAGCTAACCCCTTAAAATGTAGGTTGAAGAAGGGGTTTTTGTATCTTAAGTCAAGGGTCCTTCGCCTTCATCTACAACACTCACCATTTCACCCTGCCTACTCACATTTCCCCAAGGCTGACTCTTTGGCTCCATAGTCAAGCTCTCATCATTTCTTGCCTGGACCATGGCAGTGGTAGCCTCTCCCTTGTCCCTACTTCTCCGGATGTGCATGAAGCCACCAAGGTACATTCCCTGCAACTCACCTCTGAACCTCTCTGAACATGGCGTATCCTTCCGTGGGCCAAATATTTTCAACACCTCCTTTTAACCTCTGAAGGGGAGCACTAACCACCTCGACATTCAAAATCCTTTTCAGCCGTCCTTTCTAAACTTGCCCATCACTTGACACAGACATGGACCCCAGTTGGAACCTGACTGGTTTTCTCCCTCTTTGATGTATATGCCATCAATTTTTTTTTTTTTTTTTTTACCTCTAGGTATTTGCTTATACACCTCCTTTTCTCAATAATTTTGTAATTTTGTAAGAAAAACCCCCCGTCATTTATCAAGGATAAATTCAAGTCATACAGTCTATAGGAACTTCTAATCTAATCGTCTCATCGATGGTCATTAAATCTCTCCCTGGTTTCCTAAGGTCTGCAGTGTCTGTACTGCTCCAGGTTAGAGGATTAATCAAAGGGGGAGAGATTTGGGGCAGTTGCAATAGATTATGGGAGAGACTGTGGGCTGGGCTCAGGGCCTGTAAGAAAAGAGATGGAGGTGGGGCTCTTGCTAAAAGAGTGACAAGGGTAGTTGGGACCTGGGAAGATGGTATTGGGGGCTGGAGCAGTAGGGGTAGGATGCCCGATTGGATCTTGCCTTAAAGATTTTTCCATAGGCGCTCAGATGTGCCCACCCAGTGGAAAAGACCAGGGCAACCCACACTCTCATTCCGTCAAAACATGAGCCCTGTTCTCTGAAACCTTGCCCCTCCCTCACCGTCAAGCAAATACTCAGCTTTTAAATTTCCTCCAAGAAAACACCCAAAGTCAGGTTTTATACAAAAATATATATATTGCTCAATAGTTACATCATGTACATCTCCACAGTAACATTTTTAGCAATGCTTTAGAATCTAAAACAACACGTGTTTGCATTAATGATTTTTGCAAAGACCCTCATGCCATTTCAAGGGTGGAATCAAACTTCACAGAGGAAAGCAATTTGCTTAAGTTTCCATGTCTATGGAACACTAGTATTCATGAGAGATAAACTTAAAACATCAATAACTTAAATAAGATTAACATTACTTAAGACGTCATGTTGCATATCAATAAACAAAGTTCAGGTTCTTTCAAAATACAATAAAATAATATCAGAGGGCATTTAGGGAAGGTAGGAAGGTAATAAATTAGGTGCCTATGCTTGGGTTGTGGAGAGAGTGTTCAAAGGCTTTGGAGTTTGGGTCTTCTTGTTTAGGAGCTCCATGGATTCCTGAACCCAGCTCTCCTTGGGGTCAGCACAGAAATCCTTGGACAGTTTGGTCTTGAAGCTGTGGGGAGAGAGGGCACAGTTAGATGGAGTTCCACTGAGATGTCAGCGTAGGACTGCAGCTCATTCTGACCTAAGAAGCTACCATGAGAACTAACTAAGTGGGAGAAGGGGACCCAGGGCAAGCTGCTCCTCTAGCTGTCCCAGTTGAAGCCATCCTGGCTTCTCGCTAAAGAAACTGGGATAGTCTGAATAAGCACCCAGATGGAGAGTGATGTGGGGAGTCACTTTTTCCCTTGTGGCCTCAGTTTTCCTACTGGGCCCCTTTGGGTATTGGATTAAATGGCCTAACTCTCTGACGCTAAGGTTCGAGGCTCCCCTTTCTCTGAGGAAGAACTGGACCGGTGAGGGCTGGTGTGTTCAACTCACATCACAGCTTCTTTGGGACACTTGCTGCTGGTGACTCTTCTGTAGCTCACCAGCCTTGCCATTGGGATCTTCCTATTGGTGAATGTATAGCAGCAGGTGACTGGGGAAATAATTGCATCTAGAAATAAAACAAAAATAAAAGCATTTTAGAGTGGACTAAATTCTTCTGATCTTAATCAGAGTGGAAAAAGTAGTTAGGAGAAGGCAGAGGGAAATCAGGAGTAGAACCCATTTAATTCCAATACTTCCGCTGATACCTCAGAGCTAGAATGTCATACTGACTCAGTTTCCTATGCTGTAAAATGGGTATACAGCATTGCTAACAGAGGGAAGGGGGAGCTGTTGAAATTACATAATTCCTGGAAGTGTCATTAGCAGGAGCTAATAATGCAAACGATCATGGTCAGGGAAGTCCAGGGACCCCAGCTGTGAGTCCCCCTTTAGGCTCTAATCTATGCCTGGTCCTGAGTTTCCTGATATCCACCCCTCTGCAGAGCCATGTCTCTGGAAGCTGAACTGAATGAAGCACAGCCCAGATTCTGTGTCTCCTCTCCCCTTCACTGTATCTGCACGCCCACCACCGAAGGCCCTCTTTCTATCTGTGATCACCCCAGCCCCCAGACACTGCTGAAAGGCCCTGAGGGGATAACTGCACTGAGGGTGTGTTTCCAGAGCTGGAATCCTGGAAGGAGCTGGATTTGGGGTCCACAGCTGGATTTCTCACCCTGGCTCTGGCCGGGGCACCTGTGTGATCAGGCTCCCTCCTCCCCCTGTGAATCCCGCTTCTGCTCTAATGGCCCACGACGGCCCAGAGATGAGGTGATGTGCTTCCAAGGGCAGGAGGGGGGCCTCACCTGGCTGAGAGAGCACCTGGGTGGCGAGGGCGGTCACCAGGATCAGCAGGCACAGGAGCGCCGAGAAGACCTTCATGCTGCAGGCTGGGGATAGAGCTTCAGGTGAGAGCTGCTGCTGTGCAAGCTGGAGCTGGTCTCAGCCTCTGCTGCTGGGGCCCGCTCGCCGGCCCTTTATTGGAAATCGGGTGGGCGGAGCGACACCGGGGCTGGGCAACATCCTGGGGAGTGACAGAGTGAAATCTGAATGTGCTGAGGCAAGTGAGCACTCGGCCCATTTCCAGGAAGGAGGAGACGGAAGCAGTGGGTTTGGACCGGGCACTTTTGGGGGG